CATCTTTGAAAAAATGGATTGTAAAAATCCTGACATTCTATACTAATATGACTTTTACCTCATCTTCCCAGATAGAAAGAATAGCAACATTTTATTGTACAAACTTAAAGGCCTTATTCCCTTCCACTACTTTAGTTTAAGACCAAATATGTCAGCTATTTTCAGTCAAATAGCTTTAAAATGTTTAGCTATATCAAAGTTAACAATTATCTGGTAAAAGCCGTGGAGCTTTTAGCATCTAAACAGTGAGATCATTCAAAGGCAAAGTGAGAGCCAAACTTTGGCTTTCATTGGCTGACTGACAGAAATGACTCAAAACAGAATGATAACACTACTTATTCTGGATGTCTAAATAGGAGTGCTCTTATCAACTAAAACAGGTTATGACATGCCAGAAGACCATCTCTGATGTGGCAGGTATCGGTTCAATCAACCCGGTGTCTGTTTGTGGTGAAACTGAAGCAAACTGTCAGCACAGAGCATCATATCAGCAGCAGTGATTGGTAGTGATGTTATCCTGCCACATGTGGTTTCAGATGAGAAAATGTAACTGATAGCAGTTAAAGCAACTGTTCAGCCTTAACATTGCAATACTCAATAGGTCATCATTCACCACAGTCACCTGGGCAACGAACAAAGACAGACAGACCTACTTTGGGTCTCATGGTTATAATGAAAATTCACAACCCTAATTTCAAACAGGTATTAATAATTAAGGTCTTATATTCTGCTGCCATCAGTGACTAGATGATGTGAGAGGTGAAGAGCACATTAAAAATTCAATTGCAGACGAAACAAAGACTATCCAAAGCCAGTCTTCCACATCGGAGGGGTACGGTTTGATAGCACAACTGTTATCTGCTTTATGCGATTAAGATCTCTATTAGCTCTCAAACCTTGGATGCAGGAAAAAACTCAAAATCTATCACGGACAGCAGCACAAAACCAGTGACTGACATCCCAACACACTCACCTGCAGGAATTCGCACTGATTGGAGTGACAGTTCAATGGACACATTTAAAAAATAACTATTAGCCGCCAACAGATATTGGATTTAATTTCAGCTGTCACCTCATTTGCGAAGACAGACAAGTCCCTGGTGAGATGTCAGCTCGGTCACACTCATTTCATGGCTCATTAATGCAATTATGCAGCATCTATGTGCTAATGAGTAATATGTTTATGAGTGTATGTGCACCTTTCTGATAATGACAATGCATTTTATTGCAACAGCAATAATCTATGCAGAGCTTCCACGACAGATCCAGGAGTTTACAGAGCTTTGAATAATTTGAATGAGGACACAGGAACTCCTGGCAGCAACTAAATGAGTTTTTATCTCAATGTTGCTAAAGTCAACAAAAAAATTGGACTAAAGGAAGGAGGAAAAGTCCCAGACTCCATATCAGTTCACCACATGCATCCTATTAGTTAATGTGTCACTCTAATGCCAAACAGGCAGTGACGGTGAGATACCCCAGCATACACACAAAGGCCTGCTTGAACCAACACTAACCCCGACTAAAAAGGTGAACAGAGAGGACAGGAAGAGTAAAGAAAAAAAGAAACGTAGGAGACAGCCATCTGATAGGATGGAGGAAAAGAGCAAAGAGCAATAACAGAAAATTGCACCATTACAGGGCTGGCGATAGAAAAGCAGAGATTATTATTAAAGGGACAAGGATGGAAAAAGAACCAGATACAGTCAATTGCTAAGGAAAGATAATATATCAAGCAAAAGGAGGACATTTGAGAGCAAAACAAACTTAACTGTACTGCATTCATACTGCCAGCCTAAATGATATCTCACTGCCACAAAATAAATGACTACACTTGATTTACGACAGTCCCTGTGGTGTACAAAATCTGCTGTAACCTCATCAGTTTGATGTGCTCCTAACAAACATATCATATCTGCGCCATCTGTCACTAAATCACTGCTGCGGGCGGCCCACTGGGAATAAAGGGACAAGGTGAGGAGAGGAAAGAAGTCGTATAACCATTTCAGTTATTGAGCCTGGCAGCTTAAGGCTTCAAGCTAATGGGCTACTGCTATAGCAGAGTCAAAGGCAGGTGTTAAGCTCATAAAGTAGCTTTATGTGCATATGGGCAGGCTTCAAGCACAACCTGCACCCTCACACAAATATGAACAAAACTCAATTTCCTGCCAAAATGACACACAGGCACATGGGTGAGTAAACTCACAGTGTGACATAACAAAAACACACAAAGACACACACACATAACAGAATCTGTGATGCTCTGAAGTCCTCTTTTTGTTTAGTTTCTTTGAGAAGATGTAATAAGGGTTGGATGACTGCATATTCTTAACTTTTTTCCCAATTTGATTAAACTGCCTCAGAAACAGTGAAATGTAAGACGCCTCATTCCAATAATGTTCAGATGATATTTGCAATCTGTCTCTTAATTTTGGTTGTTTAACTTCAGGCAGTATGCATCAGCATAGAATTAATATTTGCAATAGAAGAGGGGGAAATTTTGGGATACATCTGTGAGTGAGACGAACTACATCACTGTGCAGTAGTTGTTTTTTATTTTTAGAATGGTTACTTTCAAAACTCTCAATTATAATCTGTAATCAATGAAAATTGTAGATGGGTTCCTATCTATGCCAACAAACGTGTACAACAAATAAAAAAACAACATTTTTGTTGTTATTGTTTAAGAGAAATCCCTTAGGAAAGACATGTGACCTGAGTATGAGCATGATTGATCTTTTTTAAGAATAACTCTTATCAATAAACTTTGCCTTACACCCAAACCAACCAATCCATTATACATAACTAGCACTAAACTCAGTCTTACATGGAGAAGGAAAAAAAAGTTTGAATCGGCTTTAGTCATGTAAAGCAGTATGATGTAACACATCACTGTCACCAGTTCAAATTGGTCCTTAATGATCTGCAACACGTTATTGTTACTAATTTTACTCTACACTTTGCATTTGCCTCCACCAGTTCTGCCTAGACTATCTAGAACATGTAGCTGATGCTGTTTCAAAGACATTTCTCTGCCACCATCTCTGTGTGGAGGTTTTATTTAAGTACAAAAAAGACGTCAGTACACCCTTAATATTAGCAGGGGAGTTTGTGCTCACGTGCAAACTCCCAAATCACATGAACGCTAACTATAATGTGTGTTTTAACTATAACTTGGACACGGAACCGTGAAAAATAGGACAGTTTTGCAAAGGTTAGTAAAGAAGCATGGCCTGTATTATAAAGTAGGGACGGGCAGGGTAAACACTGGACAGGTCACCAGTCTATCACAGGCAATTTAGTCTTCAATTAACCTTACAGGCAGTTTTTAGGATGGTGGTAACCAGAAGCCACCAGAACATGGAAACTCCACACAGGGATTAAAACCCGGAACCTTCTTGCTTTGAGGTGATGGTGCCAGCCACCCCACCACTGTGAGGCCCGCAACCATGTCAACACATTGTGTTGTATTAACAGTACAACGTGTCCAAACCTACAGAGATGTCTACATAACTTTAAAATATGGTTTCAACCTGGAGCTCTAAATAGAAAAACAATATTAATCTTGTCCAAATGGGAAATAACATTATGTGACTCGCTATCTTATGTGGTCTGGATTGCCAGAACTGATCTGTGAAGAAAGGGTCCAGATGCAATAGTTCAGACACGAGTGTTATGATCAGAACTGATGAGAGGAATTGGAATCAGCAGCTGGGATGTCACTGGCTGAGCGCTGTGCGGGAAGACTTTGTTCTTTCCTCCATCTCTGTCAGTTGTACGACTGCATCTGCTAAGGACACAGAGGAGGAAGCATGGCATGATGAAGACACGCCTGTCTTTAAAACACTCGCAATTGGAAAGGCTGGGCTGCTTCCCCCCCCCGAGCCCGTTTCATCGCCGGATCTTCACTGAAAACCGAGGAGCTGTAAATTGTTTCCCCTCTCTCCTCAGCTTAACTGCCAATTACCCAGATTTGACAATGGCCACTTTACCGTGGTCAGCTCTGCATGAGTATTCCCGCACAAACACACAATACAGTAGGCTGATTGTCAGGGGAAAACAATACACGGTAACTTAATTTGTGGACATCAAGAGGGACCAATTTTTGCTTCTTCCTCCGGTGTCAGTGTGGTTTTGAGCAATAATTAGGATTTTGTTAAAAAACTATGTGTTTAGTCTGATTGGGGGGTGGAAACTGAAGGGAGGTGACGAGCAAAGGCCACTGAAATGATTAGATTTTTCTGTTTGGTGTGCACACGGTGAGGGCATTTAAGAGCAGAATAATTTATGTTAGACTCTACTCCCTCCCGTCTTGTCCACAGAAGCCGAGTAAAATGCAGCCCACATGTTAGGAACAGACAAAACGCTGGCTCAGTGTGGGTGGTTAAAGGTTTCTGGACCACCTGTGACGTGTTGAAGACGGATATTTAACAGGGACCCCCAATTTTCCACTCCAATCACACAGCCACAGTATGTCACATCGATTGAATCACTCATAAAAACACAATAATTCATTCATTGCTGGCATATTTTCACATAGGCAGCAGGATTTTCAATCCGAGTCTTTCAGGGTAATTCTAAAAGATCACAGAAATATTGAATATTTAATTATATCTGAATTACCATTGAATCCCATTAAGTGAAGGATGTCTGTTGAGTAACTTCCTGCTTAGTCACTGAGCCATCCCCTTATAACCTTTAAACCAATTGAATAAGAACAAGAGGAATAAAAGTGATTTTTCTTTGGAGTGTTGGTAGAAATAGATACTTTTCGTTGGCTTAAACTAAACATTAAAACCTCTGTTGGGGTTTAGTCAGATTTTTCTGCGGGTTGAACCTCGATCACATCAGTGCTCGTTGCCTGTGATAAAACCCCCTAAAAATCCCAGCCTCCATCGGTCACAACTGTTGCTCCGTCTGCGCACCGCGCAAATGGCAACCTGCTCTCAGAACAGGTGTGCAGACTCCACCGAAAAGAGGAATCGAGCAGTTGAACTTACATGTCTAAGTTCCTGCATGCGGTCCTTCATGGTTCCGGTTTTCCTTTCCCTCGGCTCCGGCTGTTTTGCGGTGATGGAGACCGACTGGGGGATGAGAGCAGAGCGGGGAGGCGCGTCTGGTGGCGGCGAGAGGCGGTGGTTTCCCTTCCTTGTGTGGATGAAGGGATGCTGGGACCACTTTACAGAGCCGGGTGACGCGCACGGAAAGGTGAGGCGAGGCCCTTTTGCTGTTAACCCATTACGCACCCTCAACTTCCTTCCTCAATCTGCTCTAATTAAGATATATGTGTTTTCTTGTTTTCTTTGCTGGTTTCCTCCACTTTCTTTTTCCGTTTAGGGAGTCGAACTGTGAGAGCTGGTAAGGTAAGTGAAGCCAGGAGCGACTGACACCGAGTGCGCGTCCACCAGCGCGGGGGGAATTGCGTTAGGTCCGCTTATCGACCGAGCAGGTTAAAAGATAACGCCCAGGTGGTCCAGAGAGCCGAGGCTGACAGCATCCTCTGTCGATCCACGGCGGTACTGAAGCAACAGGAGCTCACATTTGCTCAATAGAAAATGATGGTTTTTAAGATTTATTTTTGGACGTTTTATTCACAATCTGAGTAAAAGCAAACACATGTAAGTTATAATTTTTATAATTGTGTTCCAAAAGCCACGACCACCTTAAGAAACTGGATTATCAAACGGTTTTAAGTAAAATGGAAAATTCCAGATTGTCTCAGATTTTTTTTAACCTCTGATGTACATAGATTTGACCAATTCGGCAAGTTTTACGGCATTCATTCACATCCACTTTATGGACAAGCTTCTTTTTATAACTAGGACTATTCTTATTTGTTGTACTCAGCATGCTTTTCATTTACCTCTTTAAAATCACAGTCCCTCCCCTTTTCACTTTTCTAATACGCTGAGCTTTCCAACACCTTCTCACTTTTCTTTAATTAATGATAAATTAAGGAAACTGTGCTTCCATTGACAAGATGTTGTGCATGATACAATAAATAATTGATAAGAAAAGAAAGCTTGGACAATTCTTGACTTCTGTTTTTTAAAAATCCTTTTATTTCTGAGTCTTTTGACAATCTGCCATCTCTGAGGCAGCACACTCAAGCAGCCATTTACTTCCAGACATGGCGACAGTCTGAGAAAAAAAGGCAAACACTTCACTAAATATAAAGGCGATTAGCTTGAATGGCATTTCACGCTTACACCTCATTCACTGAAATCTAGAGCTGAGAAGTCCAATCAGGCGGCAGCTCCAGGGGTGACTGTGTGTGTGTGTGTGTGTGTGGGGGGGGGGGGGGGCAGACCAGCGCAAATGACGGCTCAGCTGCATGAGTCAGAGCTAAAAGCGAGGTCTTCGCTGACGTCCAGTGTATTTTGTGTCAGCTCGAACCTCCCTGTAGGCCCACAAACACACAGCGGAGACAAAAGGGCCATCAGCTAATCAGAGTGGGAGTTCAGTCATTATGATGTTCAGGGCCCTGAATATCTCAGGGAGAGACAAACAAATATTTGGCTTGAAAACGATGAAAATAGTCTCATACAGACCTTCCTTGTCTTCGCCTTCTCTCTTTCTTCTCCAAAATCCAATCGCGTCCCTTTTTCACCGATTTCCCTTTCAGGTTATTAAAACGGCATCTTCACAGCAACAAAGAGCAGCTTATTAGCGCACCTCGAATGAGTTTATGACAAAGCAAGCCAAAGCTGAGCGTCTGATGCAACTCATTTTTTACAAAAGGTTGAACATCATAGTGTGAAAGGGAGGAAAACCTGCCTGACAGGGTTTTCAGTCAGGCAGGACAATGGCCCTTTTTTAGTTTCTTTTGGTCTTTTGGCTTCATCAAGGCAAGTATGACTCAACCTGCACTTATCGAGGCAAGAGACCCAGTTTTTGATCCTTAAAAGGAACAAATGTTAAGTTTATGCAGCTGGCTGTAAACAGATTTAAAACAAAAGTCGATATTCAACAGAAGTAAGATGACAAATGCACCAAGATTTACCAACTGATGCTTTTTTACTGATCCAATTATTTTAATATCAATGATTATTTTTTAAATATTCAAGTTATCAAAAAAACTAATAGTTTGTTTGCTTAAATCATAGTGCAACACACCTTCCATATTTTATAAGCTGTGATTAGATGATTTGCAGAGAACGGAATGAAGTGATAATGTGAAATGATAATTTAACAGTGAATAGAACATTTTGAAAATCTAAAAAGCTGCAGATACTCTCGTTTGATGCATTTCATCAAATGTTTCTGAGACAAAATTTAACCAATAAACAAATTTCTATTAACCCTGGAAACAGGAATAAACTAACTATTTCTTTACCTTTTTCCTGAATACTGCACCTGGTTGGAAACCGTCCTGTCTGAGGTTTCTGAGCCCAGTCCCTGAAATCAGAGGACAGACAGCACGTGGATCAGGACACAGCTCAAAACAAAAAGCAGTTAACACCTTCTCTATAAACTAACCCCTGTGCTTATTACCTTAGGCAGAACTCCTGTAACACCAGCAAACAAACACAGGAAGAACCTGTGAGAGTGAGATAAGACAATTACTTTTTAATTTCAGATAATGTGACAGAACACGGCTGGCAACCTGACATAACCGGCCTTTAATTCCAAATGCCATTCGTTTCATGCACAATTTAAAAAAAGAATCAATAGCAGACGGTGATTGCTGAACTCTGTCAAAAATCAGAACCTTTATCTGAGATCACTGACTTTTTTGCCTTGCTGCTGTTGGGGTAATCCACCACCATGCCTCCACTGAATCCGGCCCTCATAGCCTGTGATGTGATCAGCTCAAGCTTTTGGAAAAAAAAAAAAGAAAGAAAAATTTAACTGGCTGAATAAATTAGGAGAGGCCTTCTGACAGGACAAGCGTTAACACAGGTCTCATAGAGACAGCGGGTTCTTCACCTGGTCCGAGTTCTCGGGGTAGAGCTGAAAAACGGCACGAGAGCCTCTCGACTGAAACGCACACAGAAGGATGAGAGGTGAGTGATGCAGAATGTAAACAGGAAAGGTTGTACGGACGTCTGATAAAGCCTCACCAGAGAGGAGTAGAGCGTACTGAAGAAGGTGTGCAGCCTCTTGGGTGGACTGTGGGACCTTTTGTCTGCATTACAGAGCCACTGCAGAGCAGAAATGCTGGCAGGGGGGAAAAAAGCATGAGATGAACACGTGCCAAAAACAATTAAACTGCTCTCAACTGTTGTGTCGGTTACCTGACACAACCGTCAAAGGTGCCAGCTCGGAAAGGCAACCCCTGGCCCATGTCCCCCAGCAGGAGGTCGCCTTCAACTTCTCTGTCCAGCGCAACATCTGCCACAGAGGCAATTTTACAGTTCCATTAATTCATCCAAAAAGAGCTAAGACATTAAAAAAAAACATTAAAACTTGCATACATTTGGCCTAAAATTGCGTTGGAACATGTAAATCAACCTGTGTGTTAAATATGATAGTAAAGTTTTATTCTGTGCCATTTCTAAGCTGGTCATGTGACTTACTGTAATATGAAATCTAGAATAGTCACCAATTGTAACAGTGATTAAGTTAAATTTGTTTTCTTTCTTTAAAGAAAATTACGAAAAATGTTGGAATAATTTCCGTTAACTTTCCAGCAAATTGCTTATTTGAACTACAAACCTTTAACATCGGTGATACTGTTTAGAAATAAAACTGAGAAAGTTTAGAAATGATAAAAGAAACAAAATAAATGAGCTGTGAAAAGACTTCAAGTGTGATCATTTGGTTTGTTCTTCACATTTCTCACTGATGCACAACTTATACAGTCATTTTTTTACTTTTTGCTTTTCTTTGCCTGATCTTTTAAAAGTCAAATCAAAATAGGATTGAGATGCATTTTGGACCCCTGTCACAAAATTTTGTTTAACACACGTGAACATTTCTTTTGACAACTGAGTTGGAGGACAGGTTGGTTTTCCTCCTCCCTCCGTTTTACTTTTCTCAACCAAACTGAAAAAATGACATTTTGATATTTTTCTATGAGAGAACCACATTCTGGTGGTGTTTCATTCGGCCCTGACTCCATCTGAACAAGAGTGTGTCTAACAAACCCAGCATTGCAGTGCTGATGTCGAGGCCGACCCAGTGGTGCCCCTCCTCTGACAGGTAGTCTCCACTGAGGCCAGATCCACACCTGGAACCAGAGCATTCACTCACACTCAGCCTCAATACAATTCCCAGGAATGGCGATCTAAAAGTTTATATAATACTGCTGAAATGTGTGTCACACATTTGGTTGAAGTGATAACCAAATTTAGCCAGATAATAATCAATTTCCTGCTGTGGCAGGAAAGTTTCAAAGTTTATTTTTTTTAGGAACTCCCTGAGAAAATGTTTAAATGACAACAGCAATCATAGTTAGCATAATCAGGCTAATAACACACTCAGTGAACAACAATACTGCTGCAATAGTCTCCATTAAAGCAGCATTTTGAAATAAACAGTGCGTTTCAGTGTGGCTCACCCAACGTCTAACAGGTAACAGGGCTCTCCTTCTGGCAGGTTTAGGAGCTCCACAGCTCTCTCCGACATCTGGGTCTGAATCTCTATCATTCGTGAGCTATGAATCAAAATACAAAGATGTTTCTGGGTAATGATATTTTGATGAAAGCAAATGCATGAAAGAAAAAAAGAGAACCTGTTACAGACAGGTGAACTCAGCAGACAGACCAGTAGATCTATTTCTACTATTTCAATCTTATTCACAAACAGTTGCCTTTTTCAGCTTAAACATACATCTTAATCACAGTCCATAAAAGGTCCAAACAGTTGTGATCAGTTTCCAGCACACCTTGACTTGGAACTAACAAGCAAAAATAATCCAGATCCCTCTCTCTGAACTCATCATACGGGGATGTAAAGTAAACATGTGACATCGAGACTTACTTCTGAGAGTATTTCTTTGCCTCCTCTTCATTGTAGAACTGCAGAGAGGAGATCACATTAGATAAACAGACCAATAACAGGCTAAAAACAGTCGCAGACTGATCCCCCTGTGGCCCCCGTTTTATCAAAGAGGACCAAGCTGGAAAACCCATTTGAAGGAAAACTGTATAAATCAAGAAGTAGGCTGGTGGATAATAATTTATAACAAAAAATCCCCTCTTTACACATGCCATGTTTCAAATGAAGGCCCTACGAGAGACCTTTACAGTTCCAAAACGTCCCTACTTAACATGATAAAACCCCACAGTTCGACAGACGGCAGCTGTTACTGACCACATCTGGAGGGGCTGTGTGCTCTGGACGCCGGCAACTGGAAGCCATGGTCCTCCTGGATGTCTGACAGCACTTTCTGTTTTAAAAACTAGCGTAACATAAAGCTAGTGAACTATCCACACGTGAATTACAGAGAGGTCACGTGACCATTCTTCTTCTCTGAGTGAAATAGTTTTGCTTTTCTGTAAACAGAAGCTTATCGCCACCTACTGTCAGACTCCGCCATGGCAGACGGAAACCACGTTTTAAACTCTTTACATTTATGACATAACCACTTTTAATTGCCACCGCAATCTGTGGAGACCAGAAATGTTCCATTTTTAAAAGCTGAATATTATGTGTGCAATGACTTCCTCTGGTTTGTTCGAAGGTCCTGTTCGAAGTCATTCTCGTCTAATTGCTCATAGTAAAATAATTAGTAAGAAAATAAAAAAAAACATATACAAAATACCCTAATATAATTTGAAAGAAACATATATGGAATTCATTTTGAAAAATACTTTTTATGTTATAAGACATACCGACAACACTGATAAATGGCCAGCAAAGATTAGTTTAAACTAAACTTAATCAAATGGGCTGAACTCCATGAATCAATCTATTCATTGAGTTTAATCGAATAAAAGATTTCTGAATTCCCAGTTTCAATAAATGCAACTCTCCTGCAGAGTTACAGTCTCACCCTATTCTGATACATGATTGGTCAATTCCGTAGACAGTTCCTGTAAACATTGAATCTGATTGGATACTGGCCTGTAACGCGCCGGAAGCTGTAGCTGTTGTTCCGGATTGTCCACCGGCCTGATGTCGGTAAAATGGCAGAGGTCAGTCACAGGCTTGGGAACGGAGTTTGCCGGCTCACTGCTTTCAGAACCAACCAGGGTCATCCAGTGGGCACCGGAGGAAGTCCCGGAGGCCTCGTAATAATTCGTGAGTCCAGTCACAGTAGAGTTAGAGAAGAATCAACCTTGCTTCAACGCGGAGCTCAGCCTCTGTCAGCAAACAGCGCAACAACACGTAAGTCAAGGAAACTTTCCAGAGTGAGGAAAACCGAATGCCAGCTGGGAAATGTTGCCACTTCACTTTGCCTGGTGTCATCCCGTTTCACGGGGTTTGCTGAAACCAGAGACGGCCTACAAGCCTTTAAAACCGCCATGTACCTTCCTGCTGGGCTCCTCCAGGAAAAGCTGTCCTGCAGGATGTCAGCCTGGTCCAGAGGTGATGTTTCCATCCACGTAGACTCCTTCGCGTCCCCTCAGCAGCTTCGAGCTTTTTGCACTTTCTACTTTATTCTAGCAGAGAAGGGATTGGAGAGACAGGGCTGTGGACTGAGACGTCTGAAGCCTCTTCCTGATTCATCAGCAACCAGCAGAAGCTACAGCTGGAGTTCAAAAGAGTCTCCCTTGCTGCAAAGAAGCAGAACGGCCTATTATGACATCCTCAAAGTGACTCCCAGTGCCACGCAATCCCAGATCAAAACGGCGTATTACAAACAGTCCTTCATATATCACCCTGACAAGAACCAGGGGAGCAAGGAGGCCACGGAGCGCTTCTCTGAGATCAGCGAAGCTTACAATGTGCTGGGCAACATCGGCCTGAGGAAGAAGTACGACCGGGGAATATTGCACCAGTCTGATATCCAAAGTGCAGGGAGACCATCGCCAAAGAACACCAAAAGTAGATCCACGGGCCCTCACCAATATCAGAGAGCCAGACAGTTCTCACAGGCCGGCGGGAAGCCCATGTTCGACTTCGATGCCTTTTATCGGGCGCATTACGGGGAGCAGCTGCAGAGACAGAGGGAGCTGAGAGCCAGGAAGGAGCGCTTGGACGAGCTGCAGAGGAAGAATCACAATAGGTGGAAAGAGAATAAACTGATGGAGATAGCTTTGACCATGGCGGTGGCCATGGCCGGGCTGATTTTTGTTAGTCTCGGCAGGTCCTGAAGTAAACCCGTCCCTTTCCATGTCAGGTTTCTCCAGATGGTTGAGAGGAACCAGATGCTGCATTTTAGACCGTTAAAATATCTGTTTGTAGATTGCTGAGAAAATAAACCACCTCATATTATAATATTTAAGTGGTTTGAAACAGCATTCGGACCTTATTATCCATTAAACAAATTGATATGTTCACTTCAAGACAGGATTTCGCTGTACAGAAACATCAGTCAAGTACCCATAAAATACTGAAAACCGTCTTGGGTCTTTCCTCATCTTGTGAATCGCTTTCAGAGGTGTTTCATAACACATCTAATATGTTAATAGGCTTGTATTATAAGATGTTTCCCCAGAATAAAGTACATTTGATCTGAATCACTACTGAAAACCCATCAGAAAGTGATCTTTTCTTTGTTTGTGTGGTTATTGCGGTAATGTTTAATTAATCAAAACCAATCATTGAACATCTGGGTAACCTTATCTACTAGGTTGTTCAAGGTTGTCATATCAGTGATAAAGATGTATTTAATGGCCATGTTATTACAAAGTTGGTTTGAGTCACATGATTGCAAGTTTCACACATAAAATTAGCATCAGTGGTTAAAGGTATTCAAACTGGTGTGAAGCTCCATAACAGCAGTTTGATATGTAGTATTGGAGTCAATTAGTCTGAATAGTGAAGCCAAACATTTTTTTTTTCAGCTTTCGCACAGGTTAATAATGTAAAGGTTACTGTTATGAAGAAATGAATGCACCTGATGAATAAGTGCTTCACATAAAGGATGCCTCGGTATGAATATCAGTTAAATCATTTTAACCAATAATCACAAAACATTATGCTTTGGATTTGTATTGTTTTGTAATCAAAGAAAAAAAACCTTCTCAACATTAACTATCATAATTTTCCGGTAATAGCTCACAAACTTTCTGCTTTCCACCATAAACATTATGGACTTTTTCTCTTTTTTCAGATTTTCTCAGTCTCAGTTTAAGCTGCTGAAGTCAGAGAAAATGGAGGGTTTTCAGATTTGGACCCAGAACTAATATAAGTACTTTTCTTGATACTTTCTTCAGATCATTGCAGTGTTAAAAGGTGCAATGCTGCTAAAATCCGTTTTGTTTTCTCCTAACTGCTTGATGTTGTCTCCCGCAGGCTTAACTTAGTTCTCTTTTCTGTGGAAAACGTATCACAACTTATACATTTGATCCATGCGGACAGCAGCCACAGAAGATTAAAATCAAACAAACAGCTAAATCTCACCAGTTTAAAGTAGAAAGCTTATGACCATACATTTTGTGCTCCGGAGACTCAGAAATATGTTAGTTTTGTTTTGTTTAGATAAAAGAAAGACATTCAGCCTCAAGATCATCATTTACCTAAACAAGCACCTGTGGGGAGAACATAATGAAAAGGCCCTCCGTCTAAATTTCAGGAAACTGGGAGGCATCTTGGAAAAGTGCATCCCACTCTAAGATTAGAAAGTACATTTAGATTCTTAAAGTGTTACTTCTAAAAAAAAAAAGAAGACAAATCTGGTTTTAAGTGGAAAATAATCTGAATTGGGAACACTTTCAAAAAGAGTTCAGACTGATCCCCCATTCAGAGTCTTCCAACTATAAAAGTCCTGAAAACCCAGGAGAATGGTCCAAAATCCTAGAGGAGACATGCTGAAATATTGTCTGCATTGTAATATCTGTTTATTTCCCCCCCTTTGAGAAGTGGGACCATAACTACATTTGCCCTCCAGGGGGCATCCAAATGCATAACGCGTTCTGTTGGACCACAGATAGAAGCCTGAAGGGTTCAATGAGTTTTTATTCAGTGTGGGAGGATATGAAGATGGTAAGGGGGGTTCTCTGCTTTCACACAAGACGTCTGTATATCAGCTCCAATAGAAATAGACCACCACTGCACAAAATGGAACGACTTGTCATCTTTTACTCGTCAATACATGCTATAATTAATTTGAAATAAGATCTTTCAGCAAGACAACTTGGGCAGCCAATCAGTTTGTTTACACTAGAATTATTTTAGAAAGCCAAGATGTTTAATACAAGCCAAAACTGGCTACATCAAGTTACGCTGGTCTTTTAATAGAGATGCAAGTCAGATCTTTTTCAGTCTGCAGAATATTACCCACATTACCCCACAAACGATGTCTTGACTTCTCCTCACCTTCTGTCACAAAACTTCAAGCTGGACTCTGAATTTGATGTGAGTGTGAATAACTGCAGCAGACATTGCATTAGCTTGTTCACATTTTATTCACAGAAATATAAAGTAGTATGTCAAGTACATCACTTTGTACAAAATTGCACAGACTCTTCAAAACTCAGTCAGACAACAGAAAGTTCAGCTGTTAGAGAGTAAAGAAAATAAAAAGGAGATATAAGCATGATCTGTGATATGTGGGACGGGTTCCTTTGCAACCAGCAATTTCCACCATGGAAATTTCATCAAGAAGAATCAGTTGTATATAAATAAGACAATAGGGAAAAAAGTACATTTCAGCAGCTGAGGAATAATATGTTTGAAAAATAGGATTCATATTGGCACATGAACTGATTCATTCCCTCTGATTCTGAAACCGCCCTGAATCCTGAGAGGCCATGCTTGAGAAGACAGGTGCATTGTCTTTGATATGTTTATTCCTGCTGAGTAAAAGTGTTGCATATGTTTCACGCCTTCTTTTCTGTTTGCAGTGGTGTGAAATGTGTCCGTCAGGATGCTTTCTGCTGCTTGACTTGCTTTAAAACAAAAGGGCAGGTACAATTCTTTGTTTTGATGAAAAATGGAACGACCTGTGAATGAAATTATGTCAACAAACTTTAGAGGAACTGTAACAGGAGGCACTATTTTTTGCTATATTATCAAAATTGCCAGAAGATTTCATTTCCTCATGACGCTGCTTCATAATAACATGAAACTATCTACGTAAATTCTTCTGTAATACTTGTTCTTAATACTTCCATTTATACATGTTGCAAAAAGATTAATTATTTTGTTTTAGATGGTCATTGCTACTTTGTGAAGGATTTATTTTTTGTTATAACTTCGTAAACATTTGTAGTCATATTAGTTCTTAAAAATTCTAAATTTTACGTGTGCTACTGCTGTTGACCAAGAATGACTGCTGCTATTCCCCTCACACCAAAGGGGAAACTAGTGTGGACTGAAAACTGCAAGGGGCCCATTTCAAAGTCTAATCTATCCATCCTGGGTTACCTTAGGAACGTGGTTGACATTAAACTGTCCACTAAATGATATAAGGGAAATTGTTAGAATATTCAACTGTTTAAAGTTGCCAATTATTCAGCCTGTAAAAATGTATTACTTTTAAGGTTCTAACACATCTGATATGTTATCAAAACTACAAATTATAAGACATTAGAGGCCATTTAATGAAAAACAGGGGACTGTATTGAAGTCTTGTGAGCACAAGACTTCCTTCTGGAAAATGTTCAAGGGGTAGAACAAAACTGCAAAAAAAGTCAATTTACCTCAAGAGTGAAAATGTACTTTTATGGCCTTTAACAATATATCATTCTTTTATCCTACCTTCATTACTTCTTTTTGACATTTTTTTTTATTTCAGAGTTTCTTTCTAGCAATTAGCATAAAAAAGCTAATTACTGAGTCTGCCTGAAGTAGATTTCACCTCCTTTTATTCAAGCATGGCCACCCAGTACCCCATGAGTTTCAAACTGTTCTGGTTCAAACCCACCAGTTGTCCTGCAGGCCACATAAAGGAGTACACAATACTGCCACGATTCAAAAACTTGTGTCCATCGGATTAATGCTGGATTTGGTATAGTCCTATCTTCAAGGCATTACTTCAAGGTAATCTCTATTAACAGTGTATCTAATCTACTGGTTATCCGAGTGATGTGTGTGGATATAGAACAATCCCCAGATGGAGGAACCCAGAACATGTTTCAAAAACAATGCTGCAGCACACACACCACTGAAAAAAATATTGGGACTCTAAAACACAACCACACATTCATAGTAATAACCCAGTAGAACAACAACACAGGTGCCTCTTTGTCCTCTCCGTGGAAAGTGTTTTAAAGATATCTGCAGCACAGAACCGCCTGTGTGTACGCGGTGTCATCAGTAAGACGGGTAAAACTATTTAATCGTGGTGATATGCATGTTCAGTATGTTTTGAGCAGTGCCCGATAATAGATGGATCGACTCTATTCCCGTTGACACATTTTGTGATGATGTAAGACGTCAACATCACCATCTTTGTTTCTACTGACCACGGTCCACTTGAGTCTGAGTTAACTGTCAGGCACTGAGACCCTTCAGGCTGTACATGTTTCAGAAAAGCATCTCCAAACTAACACCAACACATGTCATCACTGTACTGATGTTAGCATAAAAGAAAATACCCAGAGCTGGACATCAATGGGAAAACCCACCGGGACTGTGAGGAGGATATCCGGGACAGATTCAAGGCAGCTTTACAAACATTTACGGGATGCTTTCAAGAGCCCAGAGGAGCTAAGCAGGAGGGGACTGTTTCTTCGGTCAATTTCAAACTCTCAGTCCTCCAGAAGACTAGTGACATAAACTCTTCTCCCAGGGAACTGTGGGTAAGGGTGAACAGGAAATCCTTAGAAGAGGAGAATTAAAGCCATATGATTCCACTGGATGACCTCCTCTGGCCTTCTCTGCCTACAACTATGTTCACTGTGAACCTTTGTACATCGCAGCTTCCTTGGCGTCAACTTCCCTTGCTTCTGACATCCAAGAAACAACAACAAATGGACAAAATAATGTGTGATCCAGTGACTTGGACCGTTTGCCTCATGCACCGAGCGCCTGTGTCACCATTTTTTTGCATCGCCTTCAGTCAGAAAAAACCTCTGAGTCGACCTTGCTCTGGTTTGTTTAGTAAAAAGAGTACTGATTCTCAACAGCGCGGGCCCTGCGAGCCCCGTCTGCGTCGTGGTAGTCTTCAGAGGTCCCGCTGGAGGCCTCCAGCAGGCGCTCAGAGCTGTTGCTGCGGCTCTGCAGTCCTCCCCCGGTACCCGGGTCGCTTCTGGAGAGAGACGGGAGGGTGGTGGGTGAGGAGGAGGTGCTGGACACGAGCGGGGCTTCAGAAGGAGGCCCGGGCGGCGCCGGGATTCCGGGCGGGTGAAGAGCTGGCGGTGTGGAATCTGTCCTGCAGACTGCTTCCCTGGGAGGGGTGAGGACTGGAGGCACGGTCACATCTGTTGCAATATGTGGGAAGAAAATAAAAGTCCTTTTAATAGAGGATACTTTGATCACATCGATTAATAAGCACCACTGATAATTGTTGTTGACCTCCCACAGAGAGATGCGTATAAAAGTCTCCTTCACAGAGCTGCATGTAAACACAGGGGCCTCCATATTATCCTTTTCTCTTGGTGGGAAATAACACCAACAACACTGGGGCCAAAGACAAGTCCGACCAATGTATAAATAAAGCCTTATACACCCGGAATCAAACACTCACTTTATGGGCATGCGAGTAAGTGCATGAGTGGGTGTGGGTCCAGCATTCATGAAAACAGAGGCCCTCTTTGTGGCCACCAGGATAAGATGGAGCCTCGGCCTGCATGCAGAAGTCAGGCAGCATAATCGCTCCCTCACTCTCCTTCACAGGAGGGCATTTATCTTATGCCAGGAGAGTGCGGGGCAGTATGGAGGACAGAAGGAGGTCAGTGAGTTTGAGCTCTGCTTCCTCTGTTTATCAAGTTTTGACTTGTTGAACATGATCCCTCAGTGGTTGAAAAAGCAACAACAGAGCTGGCACACATCATTTTTTAAAACTACCTACAACTTTTTTTGGAGCTCCGCAAATCAAAAGTTTGACCTCTCTTTTTTATTTTAATTCAGTTGCTTCATTGGGACAACTGACACTATTACAATATTATACTAAAGCTGCTGAATATTAACCTCAGTTCTGTGACACTTTTCTAGTCCCTTGTTTTCTATCAAATAATCAATTCACGCACACAAATTCATACAATGCTTCGACTGCTATTCAAAAGGGCAATTTTATAGTATAAATAGAGAGGTGATGTTCCATTCAGTATCTTTTCGAAGGACACTTTACAAGAAGACTGGAGAAGATTTGTTGAAAATGGGTAAATCTATTATGCTGTTGGAGTAGGTTTAGGTTTAGCCTTATTGCTCGAAGGGGATTTTTATAAATATCAATATTGTCAGAAAAAATCTAAAATTCTACTCATAAACGCACTGTAAATTTGTTTGGATTAGAATCAAACTGGAAAAAACATTTTTGTAATGCCTAACTTTTTGATTTGGTCATTATTATATTCACTGGAAATCCCTGGCATTACTTCTCTAACACTGACAGTGACTCTATTCTATTCAAATATCTTCGTAACAACTCTTTGACACGAGACATTTTGAAACATCAGAACAGGGGAAGCAAACTTTAACCACCTTAGTGCCAATAAAGAACTGGAACAGATATTTAACAGAACAAACCCTTTTACCCCGTTCATTGTGGTACAACTGTGTCTCTGCCTCCTCAACAGGGTAATCGGTGTGGAAAACGTTTCAACAAAGACTCAGATTTAAAAAGTTCTCTTTGCAGCTCTTTTTGTTGCTCTGACATATGTCACCACACAGCCACAATGCTTAACCTGAATTGTTTGACTTATTCAGTGTAATTACCTTTTGGTACTAACCCAGACAATACTAAAAACATCTGTCAATGTATAATTATAAGTTAGAAATATGAATAAGTTAGAAATAAAATAAAAAAATTGATCAAATAATTCAACAGAAAGCAAAGGACTGCTACATCAAGCTTCATATAACAGGCTTTTTTCTCCAGGTGTGTCTTATACAGTTATACACTAGTTATAAACACCTTGCAGTTATAGACTATGATGATCTGTTGTTGCTTAGTGTTGAGTACCTGTGGTGGAGCTTCTCTGCACCTGCACGTAGGCGCGTAATGTGATGTCAGCTGATCCTCCTGACTCAAGAGGAATTGGGTGGGCGTGGAAGTGTCTCAACATATCCGATACCGTGTGGAACCACAAGTGGTGGACGTGGCACTGACCGTTCTCATTCACCGACAGACGCAAATGCTGGAGGGAAAAAAGGGGAGGCAGGGCGTGAACAATGCAAAGAGATAGTTTTAGATTAATTCAATAAAGGAAAGGGAGAGAGAACATGAGTGGACAAAGAGCACATGAGACACAGTGAGCATCTGAAACCAACTAGCCAAGACAGAGAGAGGTCAGGATGTTATCTAAGAGGTCTTGCTGTGGTAGCACAGCCACAGAAGGCCAAGGCTGACACCAGAGGAAGAGGTGGCAGATGACACTTCCTCGACACTGCCGGCTGGCAGGAAATGATGTGCATGAATCGTGTAACATGAGACAACACAGGGCTTTGACATTCCTGTAGCTTTTCCAGAAGCTAAACAGCCTCTGTGAGCAGCAGTGGCTGCAGCCTGGAGTTTAAAATCAACTGCACTAGATTACATTTTCTAACTAATGACTTAACTGTTTACAGCTACAAAATATATTCATTGTCCATTGATATTTTTGAATATTTGATCATGTAAAAAGCTAAAATCATGGTAGTTTTATTCTTGTTTGCAGCAAACTGGAGACAGACACATTTGATAAGTCAGACATAATATAATGTTTTTCTTCCCTGCTATCATCTCACCTTGGCTTTGCCCTGGAAGTTGAAGGTGAGCACATACTCGCCGGGCCGCGTCTCGCTCTGACGAATCACAAAGAGCCCGTGGCTCCTGGTCCCGCCCGCAAGCACCAGTTGAGCCGCTCGTACACGAGACAGCGTACCGTGGAACCAAGGGTACCCCACCAAACTGGCATCGCCATTTGACTCTTTGGCTCCGTCGCCGCCACCTGAGCAGTGCAACACGCAAGTCCCAGCTTTATTTTCATCATCTGTGATCATCCCTTATTCCCTTTTATTTTCTTACATATGTTCGTTTTTTTTACCTGCGGAAGAGTTGGAGCTCTGGGCCTCCGGGGATTGAAGGAAGCGCTCTAAAGGCATGTGGGATGGATGCTGGGTGAAAGGAGGTTCCCTACAGCGTACTGAGGGGGTGCTGTAGTGCTCTGCCGCCGTGGGACACGGCCTCTCCGGGGCACGATACACACCTGAACGCGTTTTTGAGATATCAAGCCATTAGTGAGAACCGAGGCCTGTAAACGTTGTGTAACGTGCCGCAGAGAGTCTCGGCTCACCCTCGGACAGGAGCTCACAGCTGCAAGAGGCCACCATGGAGCAGTCTTTAGAGGTCTGACCATGAGGACATGACGCCAGCTCAATGTCATCACCGCTGTCACTGTACACAAGCAGGCAGGTCAGGATAACCGCAAGACCGTATACACATGTGAAAACAAACAGAACACTATCCTAACACACACAAATAATCTTTCTGTTTGTGTCCGGAGCAGAAAAATGTCCTCCAATCCAAGAAAACTGAGGAGGACTCAGTTGTGTAACATGGCCCCTGTTTGCGTTTAAGCAGCCTGTCAAAAACCCCACTAATTGGATGATTGATGACCATGTGTGTTTCCCCTCATTCCCCTTCCTATTCACTCTCCATCCATCCAATACCTCGCCTCCCCCCATCCGCAGTCAACAGCAAATATTTATCTGGTGGTTTACCCTGGGTCTATGCAGTCCTGGATGTCAGCAACCCATGAGTTTTTCTGCAAAGAGTCAATGGTTTCCAGGATGTATTCTCCACCGTTTTCCACCTGTGGAACAACCCAAAGCCGGTCACACACTTAGCTCTGTTCAGACGAGCACATCAGGGTTTAGGGAGGGACAAATCCAACTTGAACACAGCAAAGGTGACATTTTCCCCACAAAGTTGTTTTTTAAGCTTAAATATTGTTGAAAAAATTTCCTTTTAAATATTTCAACCAACGGAGATAGTGTTTTGTTGAAGGTTCTGGTCACAACATACCTTTAGAACAAAAGTGTTGTCCTTGTCGGGCATCTCCAGTGGCATGGTGGTCCTCACCTCCACAATGGCAGACAGTGGGATGCTCACTTTGGGCTTTGAGGACTAGAAGCAACATACAAACAGAGTCATTGAGTTCATATACTACATGTGATACTACAATTCACAGCTAGTTTACTAATTCCTTCAAATATTTGAATGAAGTCCAAACAACACCTTTAAGACCAAATTAGTTTTTCACATCCCAAACAGTTCTTCACCAGTTCGTAATCATCTTCTTTTAAAATATCACTACAATATAACATTTTGGAAAGGTGACAAATCACAATCAATCAAAATATTTCTGTACACATAGGTGTATTTATCTGTAAATTAACCTTTTTCAGACTTATGGTGTCCTAAGAGAATTGGACCATCCTATCACAGAAGATGGTTTGTAACAGTTTTATTGAAGTTGTTGCTTATTGTATTGTTTATAACCAGTAATTTAATCACCACCAATATCTTAAAGATAAAAAATAAAGAAAATAAATTGTAACTGGTTCTTCTTGTTTAGCTTGTGTTTATATCTAAACATTGATGATTAATTTCTAAACAATCAGTTAACAGATATATTCTTTTAAAGTTCTTTTAAAAGTTGCCATGGCAGTCTTTGGTTTTACTATATCTTGAACTAACATCATCTTATTTTTTACAAGTAAACTTACCCTCCAGTATTTTTAACAATAATGTCTGACACGATGCATCAGTCATAGATGACATAAACATTATTCTGTTACTGGTATTTGAACTAAGAAACTCATTTAAATTTTTCCAACTTTTTATAATTTTTGTTTTTTAGAAAAGACAAAAAAAACACCTTTCTTTTTCTATTTTAATAAAACAAAGACAGGTCAGTCTTCAGGTGGGAGTCTACTTTCATTCCAAACTATTATCACTGAAATCTGAGTGGGCATTTCTGAGTTGAATTACATCCTGTAGGAGAAAGCTGCAACATTAACAAAGTAGAAAGCCTATGTTTGGAGCAAAAATACCTATGTGGGCCTTTAAATTAGTGGTAAAGGTTTAAATCCTGAAATACACACTGCTTTTCCATCCTAAAAGTTTCTCCTTAACACATGATAATTAGAGGACAAATATGCAGTCGCAGTTACGGGTGAGACCAAAGCAGCATTCATCCTGCCAGCATTCAGAGTTTTAGTAAACCAAAAGAAGCCCACAGATCGGTTTTTACACAATCTCTGGTTTTTTCTTTGCATCGCAGCAATTATTCCTGCTAACTGACAAACAAAAAACAGGAAGCGTTTACAAGAGAGTGAAGGCCGAGAGCAGGCGGGCCCCAGTGGCCCCTCTACAGAGCCGGATCCAGACGATAATCTCAACAGACTCAATGAGCATGTTTGAGGCATCAAGCTGTGCTTGTGTGCGCACATGCTCGTTTGTGTCTGTGCATGTAAGGAGAGTCAGAGGCGAAGGATCCTGACTGATAGTCTGGCACAGGCTTATCGGTGGATCTGTCTGGAGTAACACTGTCCTCATCTTGATCCGCCTGTGCAGCTGGCTGCCATCCACGCCCACAATTCCTGTCTGTGGATCAGATGTCAAAAACCACTTCCTGTATTAAACCATCTGACCACTTCCTCTACCTCTCTACTGTAAGTCCAGTCTCGTTGGGAATTGTCTGTTTAAAATGGCACTTGATGCTTGTAGATAACATTAGCCGGGCAACAAAAAGCACGGAGTGATGTTTTCTGCCCTCAGCCTGCAACTTGCGACATGGTGGCTGACTATTAACTCGCAAAAGATTGAATTTGTCCGTGTTTAAATTATTTGGAGTGTTGTTATGAAGAATTTGTAAACAAACTGTTCCCTAAAGTGTTTACGCACCAGGGAAGCCAAGTCAAATATTCTCTCGTATTTCTCGTCCCAAATGAAAAAAAGTAGTTTCAAAGCTGCAAAATGACGCGCCAAGTTAACAACCGATAGGTTTTCAGATTGTCAGGCTCACGTTTCTTACTGAGCGCTGCTGACAGGAGCCATCACATCACAGTGCTTAGTCTCAGTTAATTTGAACAAGTCCTCTGATTACTTTCCAAGTTTCATTCCAGTGCTCAGAGCAGATTGGCCCCGACAGTGGCTGGAGGTATGGCACTCTGAATTGGATCATGTTCATCATATCCAACGCAGTAGAAGCTTTACCTTATATTTTAGATATGCCAGTTCTATATATTTTCCAAGAATCATTTGCTGAGTTTAATCCTGATGGCTTATGTCGCAAGAATTTTGCTTTCACGTCAAATACAAGCTAAAGTCTGAAATCTGACGCAGATTTCCTGGCAAAGCTTCTCACATTGATATAACACTTGATCCTAAATCTGTTGTTTGTCGGCTGCCACATTAGGTTGGAAACCCATGTGACCGTGAGCTCTGGGAAGCAGAGAGTGGGTCATCTCAGAGCCTGCTGCTGTGTCATACCACGGGCAGTTAGCGTGCGGCAATCTGCTGGATTTGCCAGACAGAGCGACCAGCAGATTGATGACCCGGCCTGGAACCGTGCCAGGAACAGGCAGAAGTGAGGTTTTAAGAGTCGGTTTATCTCCCCAACACGATTGAGTGTGCGCCGTAATGTTTTGTAAGATGTGAATAGGATTGTGGTGACAAAGGAGTGTAGTCTGCAGAGCTGGCTTGCTGAGATGTGCAGATTTAATTATCCTGTCATCAAGGCTGTAGCTCCCACGTTCAGTCTCTTTCTAAATCTTACTCTCATCCACAGCTGACAAAAATGTTCCTTTTTGTGGTTACTAATGGAATATAAAAGACAATTACATCCTTTCATCTATTCCTCTTTTTGTTCTTACTGACTAAGCAGAGTTTGACTGACTCACAAAAAACTATGTTTGTTCCCATTTTCAGTTTGTCACATCAGCCAGTTTCCCAGAGATGAGGAAGCAATCGATATATACACGAAAGAGAAACTTTGAGATCCTCGTGCTTCGTAGAAATCAATGAAACAGCTTCCTCTCCATTTTCACAGTCTCTGGTTTTCTTTACCAGATCCCTCTCACCCTTCTCACGCCTGCCTTCCTCCCCCTCTTTGTAGCTTTATTCGCATTCCCACCAGCAACGATCAAAGGACAGTGCCAGATTTACACACACTCAGCTGCACAGCCTCTTGGCTTTCCTAAGGTCAGGGGCAATGATCTGGAAATCCCATCCAGACAAATGTGAAAGGTGTATGCAGGCACAAGAGTGCAAGGTTTGAACTGCGGTACTCTTCATACTAGCTCGGCGGCCAATTATAATTTTCACAATATTCTTGAAAAACTGAATCCTGTTGTGTTTAATTCAATCTTAGACTATGATGAGCAAAATCAAAAAAATAAAAATATGTTGGAGAAATCTCTGGCTGAATCATCTCGTCCTTTAGACAACAAATGAGCTTGAATTTGTTGGGGTGGTGACAGAAAATGGAGGGGGAAATTTTTCTGAAAGAAAATTGACAAGGTCAATTTCAGTTGCTAAATTTCTGAATGGCATTTCCACAAGAGAAGCTCCTCTGGGATGTTCCCAATCTGCAGTACTAAGGACCAAGCAGAAGAGGTTGAGGGTAGGAAGATTAGAAATACCCTGTGGGTTTTTAGCAACCTGCTATGAACAATGTGACCTACTGTATGCATTAGAGGAGATAGTGTAAGACAAATGACTGAAAAGGTTCATGCTGGTTTTGACAAAAAAGGTGCACAGTACTGGACACCTACGCATCAAAGCTGGCGACAGAGCAAAGAAAGAATGACATTTCTCTTAACATGACGTGGACGGTCATTTTAATCTAGTTTGCCTATGCGGTCAAGATATAGATCAGGATAAACTACGCTCTGAGACATGAAGCCTGTCTGTGATTATACATATATTATACATATATTGATTTCCCCTACACATCCCTGTGGAGGTTGTCCAGGATTTACCCCGCCTCCCAACCAGTGACAGCTTGGAAAGGTCCCTACCAGGAATAAGCAGGTATAGAAAACGAGAGGATGGATGGAGGTCCATGACGTAGAAGAATGCTTATATACCTTGGGTGGTACGTAGAACTCCAGCAGGAACTTCTCTCCTCCATCCTCCCGCTTAGTCTTCCTCAGCAGCAGGCGACACTTCTGCCACAGAGCAGCACCCATACAGTTTGTGTCGTCGGCCACCATGTACCTCAGCGCTCCCTCCCTCTGGATTTCCAGCAGCTCGGCCTTGTGGCCCTGGGAGCCCCTGGGAAGTCGCAGCTTTTGGGACCACTTCTCTCCTCCTGCCGCCCCTTCCCCCCCTCCTCCTCCTCCTCCTACTCCCCCTCCCCCTCCTCCTCCCCCGTTTGCTCTCCTGGTCCCGGAGGGAGCATCGGGCTCTGGGGAGGCCCGTCTGTGCCACATCTCCTTCACCCCGTCCACCACACACAGACTCATGTTCCTGAGGGAGAAGCCTTTCTTGAAACGAGCCTTTGGATGACTGACCGACACGTCCTCAGAGCTGCGGGACTGTCCCAGAGCCGACACCTTGTGGGTCATTTTGGGGCCCCTGGAGCCCGTGTTGCCGCCGCCTCCCCCGTCTATCCCTCCCCCACCGCTGTCCATGCTGTCCAGGGATTCGCTCGAAGCCCCGGTGTCCTTGCGCCTCTGGTAGAGATCGTGACTGTACGAAAGCGGGCAACCCTGGATTCCTAGAAAGGGGACGATGCTGTACTTGGATGCTGAGTTGGAGCCGTCCTCTCCCGGGGAGGCGGCCTGGTTCTCCCTCGCCTGGGTCAGCACGGCGGTGAAGCACTCCAGGAAGTGGTGGGCAAAGTGCTGCGAGAAACTGGCATCGGCGCCCGGCGAGTCGTAGCACGGGTTCTCCAGAAGAAAGCGCTGGAACTTGTCAGCAAAGTCTGCCGCGGAGGCTCGAGCATGGAGCTCACAGAACTCTCGCCAGTCTGGCAGCGGGCACGAGGAAGACAGCTCCGGGCTACCGGGCACCACGGCTCCGTTCATCACTGGGCCATGCCAACCCACCGAGGAGAGGCTAGGGAGGAGGAAGAGGAGCAGAGCGTTAGCAACCCAAAAAAAAATATCTGCAACAGCATGTGTTTGTGATCCTCGTCCCTTTTGTGTCACACACAAACAGCTGCGAGACAGCCTGCCTGTGTGTCGGTGTAAAGAACAGACAACACACACATGAAGCAGACTGCCAACCAGATTGAGTGTGTCATCATAATGATATTCAAATCTTGATCTGAAAAAAGTCTAACCACAAGCTTTTCCTTTTTGCAACCATTAAAATGTGCAGCTGGAGTTTTCAGTCTTACATTCCAACAACCTGAAACACAAAATGGTCAAACTGGATCAGTTTTGTTTTCGATCCATTCAAGTTATTGTTTATTTCTCTATATGTAGTAGTAGAAATTCAATTAAAACAGTTAAATCAAATCCCAAATGCAATGTTTGAAATCAGCCTATAAAATATTCATTTATTTTGAAACACTTTCGAAATTAAAAGATGTCCAGGGGACAAACAACAGGCTTTTGCACTCTGATTGGAATTGGTTCATGTTAATTAATGAAATATTTGTGACCTCTATGATTTTGAGCAGCCTGCCACAAGGGACTGAAATCAGCTCACGATTAGATTCAATGTGACACCAGACCAAAAGGAAATGATCCAGAAAGCTCTGCCTCCACCATTTGATGAATTCTGACATGCACTCACACTATTTTAATGATCTGCGAGCCTGTTCGGTCACAGATGGTCAACACCAACACAGAATTATCACATGACTCCTCTGTATGTCAAGTCAATCTCAAATAGCTGCTTTCTTATTCATTTTCTTGTATCTCAAGTTAACAGTTGCTGTCATACATTCATACTTAATTTGCTCCCCAGCATGTGTGTTTGTATGATTCAGCTCCTTCCATCTCAAGCTCCAGTTCTGCCAAACTGCATCAAATCACTGCTCAAACTTTTCGCTGCAGTGGGGATCTAACGCAGAGTCCTAATGACAGTGTGTCAGTAGCAACATCCAACGACAGTTTCCCCCCCTGTCCCTCCCCTCTCTCGGCCTGTGCACGTCATGACTAATACAGCGCCGGGGAACAGTGCCAAACAATCAGTCGCATGTTGGTTTGATTACGGCTGTAACTCGTGCAGATGAGGAGATGTTGTGAGCGGGAAAGCTGTGCAGCACTAGCGCTGGGGCGGCCAACCCCCCCCACGAGCCAAGAGCACATGTTCACAGATCCGATCAGCCTCCCTCGACCGGTCACCAGCAAAACTCACGCATGCTTCGATCGCACCCTCGAAGAGGATCTTTCAAATATTCACAATGAATTATTGTTGTCGAGCAGAATTATGAATGACTTTGATAGACTCAGTGTGAGTTGGTTGTTAGTAAAAACACACAGTCTCCACTGGAATGGGCTCTGACAAATGTTCCACTCAAAGCACTTTTTTTTTCCGTTTCAAGAACAAAAACGCACACAAATGCTGATCAGAAAGAAAACATAAGGGAAATTACACACAAGTTCTGCCTGCTCCATGTGAAGATTTCTTGAAATCTTAATGAGACTTGGTGCAAAGAATTTAGAGGAATACTGTGATGGTTGGATACTCTACAAAGTAAAGGAATGGGTGAAACTAAATAATAAGAAGTTATTTAAAAAAATTACACCAGATTCATTATTACATTACATTACATTATTTTTATGCTAATATGTTTTGCATAGTTTATAAATAAATACCATAATGAATATAAATTAATATATACATTGTAGAAAAACTAAGTTCTTTCCACAATAAACTAACCTTTTTGCTCATGAGGTTCACACATTTACAGACAGGGACAGACAGCTACTTGTGGATGGTCACTGGGTCTCAAAATAATATGTTTCAAATATCTGAAAAGCAAGGAAACTTGAATGAGCTCCTTTGTGTTGATGCTGTTTCCTTTCATTATTCGGTGGCTAAAATGTAACCAAAGCTCCGTAAATGGGGGTGGTCTTCTGAACGGTCATCAGGTGACACAATCCCACCCCATCAGGTTTCACTTACACAGGAAGGGAAACAGAGGGCACTTTCAGTGACACTGAGCCGTTCAGTGTTGGGCCATAAAGCTGCTATCCTTCACTCATTCATGAACGCCTCATTCATAAAAAGCCACGGGCCAAGTGTTCGTTACTTTAGAGCCGCACAAGCTTTGTGAGGTAAACGGCTAATGACTGCATGTTGTCGGAACAGTTACCCCACGCCACATGTGAATGAATGTGTTGTGTGTCTGTGCTTCTGCTGCTGTTGCTGGCAAGGAAGTCAATACACATTCAGCTATTTGAAAACACGCTCTCGGCCAAGTTTCCACCCATTCAGCAGAAACACAACAAGAAACAATGAGCTGCATTTCTCAGACTCCTGCCTTTCCACAAAGATGAGGATGTGCCTCGCTCACGGATATTGAACTGTACGCTGCACCCACCCAACCCACACGTTTGCACACACACACACACACACTCATCAAGTCAGCATGAAACCCAAGCCGTGGGGCTTTGAAGGAAGTGGACAGCGTTATGGTTTTCTGAGGCTCAGCAGACCACTGAAAAGGCATGCGGGGATGTAAAGTTCAAATGATGACACAGATCACAGGAATAAGACAAACATCGTGTTGGAGGAAAAAAAGGAGGAAGAAAAGTTGTTTCGGAGTATATTTACATTTGCTCAAGTTTCATAAAGTACAATTTCAAAGGAAATGAGAATACTATTTATAGTGGTGGTGTATTTACCGGTTAAAACTATTCCAACATAACATATAATAAACCTTGGATTAAAACAGTATTTAGTGAAGGTTGTTTGTTGTTTTTAGCGTTTCTTTAAAAACTTTCTTCATATATGAATGTTATGAAATTTCCTCATAGTATAAGTCTGTCTAGTTTATGTCTCTTTACAGATTGTCACCCTCACCATTAGGTCAAATCATGGCGTACGTTTTCATTTGGTCAAACACACTCTTTTATATCTGTGAGTGATTTCTGTTGTCTTCACTAAGCCTTCTGATTCAGATTCATTTTGGCCTTTTTCCCAGAAGGTGCTGAGGCTTGCCACAAATTTGAAAACTCTCCAGAAATGTATGAAGATGGCAAAATTCATGAAAGGGAACATGCTTGTTTTGCTGTGAAATTTCAAAATACAATTTACTACAAGGTATGAGAAGTTGTGGGTCCCTTGCTGTATCCCAAGAGTAATTCAAGATTATTGAGGAGAAAAATCTGCTGAGAAAATGGACTAAAATGGTATAATTTTACATCACTTGGGGGAAATTCCCAACATTCTAACAGCCATACAAAACATCAATGAGCCCATCTATTTAACCCTTTAAAATAAAATGAAAAAAGAGCAAGGTATTATGCCTTTTTCAGTGATCTTTTTTCATTTTTCGAAAAACAATGGATAGCTGTGAGAAATCACCAAAATGACATGTACATGTGTTACATGTACCCCCACAAAGCAAAAGAAACCACTCAGGGGCTTGACCTGACCCTTCAGCTGCCAGAGCTCCATCATTTCACCCTGTGAGTTCCTGACTCTGCCTGTTAACCAGCTACGGCAGCTCTGCCGTGCAGTGAGAAAATAAAAGCCTCAAGGAGGATAACACATTAGAAGTTGTTAATAAAAACAGCAGCATATCTATTCAGAGAATGACTCTCTGTAGATTCATCATAACCACCTATATTTGCTACCGAGACTTTATCATCTCAACTTTCTTCTTCTCGTCTGCATTTGCACTTTAATAATGCTTTGTTGACCTAAGTAAATATTTGACTTTGTTGTATTGGTAGTCTTAGTCAAGGACCTTGAGTACTTTTTCCGTCAGTGGAGAGGGGCATGTTTTTGCTCCACAGGCCAGCTGCTAAAACAATCAGTGTGTGGAGGTGGAAGAGACAAGGGGCGCATAAAGAAAAGGAGACGGACTGAGGGACAAGGGGGAGCAGAGGCACCATATAGACTCTTCAATCGTCACGACTCCCGTCGGACCTCTTTTCGGCTCCGATGGACTGAAACTAGAATCAAAAGCGGAGAAGGGAGGAGGAGGGGGGGTCATGGAGGATCTGAGAGAGTTCACCTCCATCCCTCAGCCTCAGAAGCGCTTTCCTTCCTGTCTCTCTCTCTCTCCTATCGGTTGTACAAATCTACCACTACCGTGCCCCCTCCTCCTCCTCCTCCTCCTGCTGCTGCTGGTCCTTCACCCGGGGGAGCCGGCAGATATCTCTGTCAGATGCTTTGGAGTTCAGTTTGTAACAGTAAATTGACTGGGGAGGAAAGGAAAGAGACATTACAGTGCAGGGAGAAGCAATCAACTACGGCCTGCAAAACACATTGTACCAGATCCTCTCCCTCACAGGACTGAGGATGCAGTAACAAATGCCTCATACACACTGAAGCCTCATGGGTAGTAACGTAGATCCACCGAGGAGATTATGCTATGGCCGGGATTTATATTTTAAAACTCTGTGTGCTTTTAGAGACTAACTCTAAGTGCTTTAAAGGAGACACCTATATATACATGCGGCGAGGCGCCTCGTGCCTGCAGCACAGCCTCTGTGATTGGCTGATAAGGATGATCGGTGATGTTGTGCTCCCACCCCAGGGAGTTTGGGTCTAGCTGTGTTTTTTTTTTTCTAAGATTAGCCTGCTGCACAGCAAAGTACACTCAGTATAGTACAGGAATATCCATGCATATCAGCTTTAACATTCTGTGAAGCTATAAGTATGTGCTCTGAAACAAGATGTAAAGCTAAGCAATAACTGACCTCTTTGCTGATGTCTGCATAGAAAAGGTTGGTCTGATGAATTGCAGATAGCAGAGTGGACAGTCTAGTCCAAAAACTCAGCTTGAAAAACGGACTAGGCAGCATAATTTGGGGTAAAACAGAAGTAGACGTAACCTCACAGAATGAGTCAAAACACAAACATCCACCGACTGGTTGGTGTGCACATGAGGATTGGGAAAGAAAAAAAAGTTCTATGAAAATCAGGCTAAACGCTTTGTAGAGCGATGCAGTGGTGGAGACCATAAATGATGCAGACAGGAGATAAAAATCCTGGGAGGCAAAAATGGAGATAAAGACGTATGACGAGGGTGGTAGATCAGAGGTGGTAACATGGGAAAGAGCAGAAATGAGGTTAGACACCCACGGCTCGACCAACTTTTAGATCTGCAGCAGGCCAATAACCTTTAACCCAAGCACAGATAACCCAGTCTCCCCTTAATGAGCCTGAATGTTGTTTGAGAGAGCTTTTCTCTTAGTGCCAACATGAGACAGAACCAACTGAAAGGAGACTATCTTTATCTGCTTTGAGACTAAATGGATGATGGCACACCGACACTATGAAGGCTATCGCTCCCTGATCCAGACACTGATCCATCAACAAACAGCTAGTGTGTGTGTGTCTGTGTGTGTGTGTGCGGAATATGTGGAAGCAGACTGATTCAACTTGCGATAAGGGTCCAGACACGATCACGACATGAAGAATTCCAGACCACCAAATCATCAAAGCGCTCTCTAAATGACTCGGGGAGGTTTTACTGCCACTTCTAACAACGCAGGTAGCGAGGCCTCGTCGCCCGGCTATCAAACACAGTCATCAGCATGTCCTCTTTCTCCTCTCCGATGCTTCCTCTTGCAAGTGTCGACAATGTAAACGTTGAGTGAGCTCAGCCATCCATATGGCAGCCAGCGATACAGGATGGAGCGCGTGGGAGATGCACATTGCGCCACTGACTTCCATTTCCTGTCTCTCACCCACCAGGTCTAACTAATTCCACAGATGACCGCAGGCTTCGCACAAATGAGGACCCGGAGATAGAAATACAGTACAACCTCTCCGGGCACCGTGTTTGTCACTCACTGGGATCGATGGGTTTTTAATGTGGCTGATGTAAAAAACAGCTTGCTGATGGTAGCAACAGGAGGCCGGCAGAGCAGCTTGAATGGCTCCATGTAACATAATATACACACATCTTTTAAACATAACATTTTTGCAGGCAAGTGTTCGTTCCTTTTGAGTGTGTAAAATGTCAGACTCTACAATTTTGTGTTTGTTTTGAAAATTGCCATAAATAATGTGAAATGATAAATCGTGTGAATTCTCACAACCACTCCCTATTCGTTTGTCTAATAACTACAAAACATTAGAAAAAGATCATTAGCAGGTACCGCCTGCAGCTCAAAACCCTGAAACTATTACATTTACAGATTAATAATTAGCAGGAAAAAAGTTACAAATCCTCTTGCCTGGATTAATTTCATCAAATACTTTTCTACTGATAGCAAATCATCTCACTGTTTCAGTATAATTAGTGAACGATATCATTATAGATGCTAATCTCAGATTTGTTCATTTGGAGGTGGAAGAATTCTTTTTGTTGTTGCGTTTTATCAAGTTAAAGAGAAAAATTGATCTGCATAGCATTATTTAATCATTAATTTGTGAAACTGCCCTTCTCTTAATCATAATCACAGTGGAAATCACTATTGAACTGAATGAAAAAGCTCATGTGTAACACAAAATTTCCTTTAACTCTTTTGCTCACAATGAAATTATATTTTAAAAATCCAAAATACTTTCTAGTTTGACCTATAAGAAAAGCTCTCTGACATTCCTCACACAGCAGACTGGGAACAAAATGTAGGAAACTGCTGAATGAGCTAACACCAACAATAGAAGGTTTTTTTTTAATCTGAAAAAGAATATCAAAAATAAGATTATGTTGAAGTCGCACCTCGGGTCGACCTCGGGTCTTTAAATATGGGATGATGATGGTGACAATGATGCAAGAGCTCCTTTAAATGAGCCCATCCATCTCAAGGCATTTAAAATGTATATATCATATATCACATGGGGCTTTTTCCAGGCCCTGCAGGGTTTGTAGACAAACATGAGTCATTAACTGTGTTTAGAAGAATGCTGCTCGCCATGGCTAAAGGACAAAAGGGTCACTAGCTTTATCAGGATACTATAAAGGCCTACAAATCACATGTTAGCACATTATTTTGTGCTGCGGAATGTGAGGCTGTATCTCTTAAAAAAACGTCACCTCATCATGATTTAGCTGTTAAACAACTCTTACCTTTAAATAACAGTAGTTTATGTTAAACACATCACACACCTAAAATGAGTTAATTAACTCACACTATAATGTCAAAAATGCAACCTAATGTAACTTCTTTCTTAGTCTATTAGTCTAGAGGCTTAACTTTGAGCACCGTCATCGTTTTAACTCTGTCATCATAGTTGGTATCAGTTTAAATGTCACGACAAAACATAATCCATAATCTAATGTGATCCAGTTTAAGGTACCTTTTAAGGGCGGTAATAAGCTTTCTTTTCTTCATAATGTCAGGAAAGTTAGAGCCAGGGTGCCGGAGAGGAATGGCTGCAGAGGATATCAGAGCACTTCATCATGTGGGCAGGCATTAATTTTGTTACATCCGACTCATTCAGCCTCATATTAACTGTCTCAGGTAGCCCTTAACGAGAAACATGAGGAAAAAGTCAATATTGGGCCTTCAAGTGGCCTTCTGCAGGCCCTGGAGCCTGTTTACGGCCATCAGTGAGTGGCTGCGCAGGCTGGCCGCTGGACTTCATGAATGGGAATGGGCAGCAGCAGGCTCCTGCTGAATGGCTGACAGATGCGGGGCCAGGAGACAGCCGCTGAATGGGAGCGTGCGTGCGTGGGTTCCTGCGTGGATTCGCAAATTTGCCACTGTGATCTTTTTTTTTTTGCGTGATTTGAGCGGGCCTATACATCACATCCATATAAATCCCACCAGTCCGTCCTGTGACTGACCACTCTTTGCACCCTCCGGTCTATTAAATGGATTATCGCAGAAGCCCCCTCCTTTTACATCGTCACCACCTCTCAAGTCAAACGACTCTCCTCGTTTTGAAGACTAATTGCGGTGATCAGACGGCTGCACTTGCTCTCTTCCGTCACGAGACGGTCCTCGAGGCGGAGGATGGCCGTGGGGATGGGACGGTTTTGACGCCCCGACGCATCAGCCTCTCCTCCGCCTCATCAGCCCCCCTTGTTGGTTTGTTATTGTTTTTCCTCGGCAAATCACCGTGCAGATGCTCTCTCCCCGCATCACTGGCCCAAAAAAAAAAAAAAACCCGACCCAAATCCCCAGCATCGGGATGGTCCAGACGCACGAAATAACCCTCAGCACTCACCTCAACACAGCACCGCTCTCATCATGCCTCAGAACGGATCCTGGCTCTGAAGGGGAATATGCTCACTTTTTTTTTAGCATCAATCCTGGGGAGCTTCTTTCCTCCGGCTGGATTCGGTTGTGGCTCTGGCCGGTCTAAAGGCGCCCACGGCCGCTATGATCTCCCTCCATCTCCGGTCGACGTTCCGAGCTGGCGCTGCTCGACTCTGGGCTCCGTCTCTCCACACCGCCGCAACCCTGCGAGAGGCAGAAAAAGTCCCACTTCCGGCTATTACTTTCAGAATAAAGCTCCAAGTGCGTCCCCTCGATCAGCAATTAGCTCACAGCTTCACTACAAATCTGAACTGGAGCCCCACCAGTGCCACCCACTATTCCTCCCACCAGGACTTTGGCACGTGCGTAAGTACGCACGGGTTCTGAGTCATGAGTAGACTGTCAGTAGCAACAGCAAGTGTTAAAATGAACAGAAACTTTACAAACATCTGGCCCATGGCTAGTTTGAGCTGTTTTCTGTTGTTGTGTGGCCTATGTTGACTTCTACAAGAGGTGGGTGTTGATCTCAGATGTTATTTCATATTTTAATACTTAATTTAAAAATATATATATATATATATATTCTCCATAGTGTAAAGTGAAAGATGTTGTCAACCAAATGGAGACATTATCAGGTCCTTCTACGGGACAAAAATAAATGAAAATGTGATCACAATAATTATCACAGGCAGTCTCGGTTTCCATGTCAATCTGATTGTTTTGTTTGTATTTACACCCATAACTGTATTTCTGGAAATTCCAGGAAGCAAGGCAAGGCAGAAAGTTAAATGGCAGGAGGCTGATTACAGTGGGAAAACTTTATGAGGAGACCTATAGCTCTAGACCTATACTCTGTAGGCTTTAACGTAATCATCATCAAAACCAGGGTGTAAAGATGACCGCAAAAGGTTTTCACAGAAAACACAAACAGAAACCAGATACGTCAAGATTCAAAGAAAATGTCACGTTTTTCATAATAAAGTGGAAGTCGGAGAACTTCTGCAAAACAGAAGTGAATTGTTTTAAAAATCCTGAAATTGCCACAAAATGGTCACATTGATATTGTGGAGCAATGTATTTTCACCATGATGTCAGAAACAAAAACGTAAGTCAGCTTTAAGCAGACTTCTCTCATTTTCAAGCTCGAGTTTTATTTCTGCTCAAATATAGTAGTTTTCAGTGTCTTGCGAGATTCTCTTTGTTGACATCATGGCTATATCTGCAGGAAACACAATCAAAGAGTTCCGCTGTGGTCCAGCTCCCCCTGAGTGATAACAGTTTTTATAGCTCTTGGAGGTTCTTGTGGTTTTGGTACACTTTTACAGTGCTGATCGGAATAGTGTGGGATATCGCAGCTATTTATTTAAAAAGAATGAGGTGTCCTTGCAAAAAAGAGTTATTGTTTAATTTGTGATTTTATTCCATATGCTACATTTTACACACATACGCATCACATATAGGTCAGACCTTCATTAATTTAAATAATTTTCTTAAGAAATCAAATTAGATTTTTGCAACTAATGAGAACCAAAGTCCCAACAATGAAGAGTACTGAAAATCCCCCTGCAAAAAAATCCCCAAATTAAGCATAATTATATTCTATTGCTTTTAATTATAGTTCAGAAACATGTTTATTCAGCTCAAAATAACCTTTTTTTAACACTGAGTAATTAAGAATGTATCCTAACTATTTACATTAAATTAAATAATCAGAAAGACACCTTTCTTTGCCTTTTTGTATTTCTTATGGTTAACCCTGGCTTGAAATTGTTGCTGTATTTTCTCATTGATGATCTTGTATCAACAGTCAATGCTGTGTGACGGGTTTTCATGAAAGGGAGATATGGATTTTTATCTGTATGGTTTAAAACAGTTTCTTCAATCAATGCAATGCTTTGGAAAACTCGCAGCCAAGCAGCAGAAGCACTGACCAGCGGGTTAAAACATACAAGGGTACAATAATGGTGGTGACCGTCTGCAAGAAACGGGTCTTTTCATCCAATATAAAAGAAGAAGTCAACGAGCAGGAACATTTTTCCAACCTTTTGATTTCTGTGCCGTCAGTCTTGATTAGACTGATACCTCAATTCACAACAATATGAGAAAAGGCATAACTTCTGACAAGAATTCATAAGTACCATTGACCTGATTCCAAAAACACACTGAGAAGCAGCAATAACAAAATGAAGTGGGAGAACAGGACAAAACACCACAATCTACAGATCACACATGGATCATAACAAAACTATATACATCTGCTGTACACCTTTTTTATATATATATCTTATTAATAGTACACCGTGTAAGCAGCCTATTTAATCTGGGAAGATCACATGAGTTTTAACCTACCATGCGGACACCTGTTCAGATGCTCCTCCTCAGTCACATCCAACCTTCTCACAAAACACACGAGTTCAGCCGTTACGTGTATGTTGCTAAACGTAGACAGCGTTTTCCCGGAATAAGCGTCTTGGTTTAGTGAATCAGTGAACTTTGCTTCATGGCCAAATGGTTACTGTCATTAGTATAACTGCTACCTAGGTGTTGACTGGCCAGTTCAGATTCCTCATGTGATTCAGCGATGCTTACCTCTCGGTAAGTGGCACAGAGAGCTAAGCCTATTTATAATCCTCTGCTCTGAGAGGATTGAAACTGTGGGGTTAAAGACTAAAATAATAACCTGACCAGACTACAGACAGGTGGCAGTGGGGGAGGATGAGCCACGCCGGAAGGGCATACTTAGTACTCCTTCTTAAGAATGCCACACTGTAATCTTGTTTTCCAAACTCTTTTCTCAGCTGTTAAGCAGCTCTAAGTGATCCATGTAATGATTAGCAGCAAACAAATGATTAAACAAGAGCAGGAATCATTGGTTTGTGCCACTTCATCTGCAAGTGTCCTCAAGGAAGTAGATTCACGCAACTTTTAAAAGCATGGCCCAAAAGGTAACCCAAACACGGGTCTGAGGGACAATACAGGAAGTTTTAAAACTGAAGGCAGCCAAAAAATGAGAAATGAAGACCTAAACTCAAAACAAATATCAAGCGAAAGCAGATGGCTGGGTAACGTGGTTGAGTTGTGATGAGTATAAAACGTGTCATATATACTGTTAGACTGCTTATGGTGGGGGTGTGTTTCTAAATGAATTGAGGTGAGCAAGATTCTGAATGGCTAAAGAAAAGATGCCCAAGGAATTCCCTTCTCACTGAGAAACTACAAATGTCCACCACCTCCATTCTGGTGGTCAGGGTTGATCGAACATTGAGTTAAAGTTACTTCAGTAGAAGGACATCGCAGCAAAAACTGAAAGCTAAAGTTAAAAAAAGTTAAAAACGTTGCCAATCTTTTAATCACTTTAGAGATTTGTATGATAAAAAAAAAGATAATTCAGGTTACACATAACCAATTCAACAATAAAACTCTATCTATCAGCAAGATTTGCTTCAAAACTAAACACAAATCTAAGTGTCTCCATCTGAAACTTATCTACTATTCAAATTTAGAAAATGATTTAACGAATTAAAAAAAAAAAGTCAGAAGTTACCACTGACATTTTATCAGCAGTGATGACTGTTGGGAAAAAAAATATTGAAACATTTGATTCTAAATTCAAACCCAGAACAGGACAAGAAGAAGCTCTGTGAAACAACACAAGTTCTGGGCTTAGAGAGGGCTCCTTCATGGTGTCTCTCCAGGGACCCGCTCCTCTTATTGATCTTTGGATACTTCCTGCCGGAAGGACGGGATCCCTGGGGGGCAATGGCCGCTTCAACCTCCTGCTGATCCTCCATTACCTTCCTACCTGTCCCACGCAATCTGTATCAGTCTCTTTATTCCTGTGTCTCCATCTCTGGGTCAGAATTACCAGAATTACCACTTTATTCAAGCAATATTGCTACAAAAATATCAGTTTTCCCACTTTGTGTTCACATGCACTGCAGTTAAATGGCAGAGAACCCGTAACACGTCCATGCACAAACAAAATGGCCTCTTCGGAGGGGTGTCATTGATCAGCAGATCAGACCCTGCATGGGCCATTTTTAGACATCAGGCCGGAGGGAGATGGGAAAGAAAAAGAGGGAGGAAAAAAAGATGCTTTTGAGTTTATTTCCTGTGAAAGCATCTAAAGTGGTCGAGATAGAGATTGGCCTCCTGGGGCTGTTTGGGATCAATGTGTCAGTTGGCTTTAATAAGAAACTGGCCCTCACTGCCCCTCACTGCCCCCTGACCAGGAAAACACAGCACAGACCTGCACAGAAATCGGTTTGCTTGGAATTAAGCTTTTGATTGGACACGGCTTTCTTGCAGGAGATGATGATGCTTTAACCCCGAATCTCAGGTAAAACCAAAAAGGAGGCAAAGACTAAAACGATTGGAAGGAATCCTTTTGCTGTGAGGAAATGTACTAACCACCATGTCACAGTGTAGCATAAAAAATATGATGTAAGGTAAAGGATAAGAAAAGGTTTGTGTTGTTCCAATCGCCGTTTCTCTGCAAAATAAATAATCTAGCATCTTGAAATGTTAAAATATCAACTAAACTCAAATATCAATCCTGGTGGTGACATCTGATTATATTTAAAGGCTTCCCAGATCTAGGAGCATCGGAATTATTGTTTTGTTACCAATACAGAGATTTAATGGTGAGTGATGCTGCACTAAGGTTTGATGGACAGATGCCCCCATTTAGCATTCATGATGTGCTAATAGATTATTGCAACAAGCACGGAAATTATTTAAATTAAAAGATTTAAATAAACTTCAAATGTTTACAAAATGAAATGTGAATATCAGTTTTTTTAATCGAAAACGTTTCCTTTCAGAAATGCGTGTTTGATTCCTGTGTTTGGTCCAAAAAGAATCCATTTGGCTGCACAGTTTTGCCAGTGAGTGATGGGATAATCAATCATGTTTGTAATAAATGTGGAAGTAGCCATGTGTTAAGGTAAAGAAAAGATGGAGAACCTTTAACCAAACTTGAACCGATAGACAAAATCAAACAACCAACAAGGATCTGACCAAAGCGAATGAACCCGGAGAGGCTCGATACAGGGGAGAGTGATCACTGAATGAATATCAGGAATACAGTGAGTAAGGGTGAACAGTAGCTGATGACCAGGATGGAAAATTACAGAGGAGGGAAGATAACCAGAAGTGAAGTTTGCAAAGAGAGACGGAAGGAGACAACAGGAAACGGAAAAGAACATCATAATAAAACCTGCAGAGAGAAACGTAGGATGACTGAAACCCAAATGAAAGAACAGGAAATAAACAAACAAACAAACTGGACGGTAACCAAGAGAGACAGAAGACAAAGTTAGCAAAACGAGGCACATGTTCGCAAACAGCAAAACCAAAATGATGACAAAAATAACAAAAAAAACCCACACAACTTATGACACCTTAAACCTGAAATTAAACTTAAGAACAAAAATACCAACTACACAAGCCCTTAGTTCCATTGGAATTCTTCTTAGCCATCATTTTAAAATTTCATAAGATTTGTGCGCAGCACAGAGTTTCCATTTCCTCTTTTGAGCCACCACCCTTTTTCTGAAAATGGCAAAAACCACCTCAAGCAAAATTGTGGAAGTTTGCTTGTGTTTTTCCGAAATTTTAGCACCAGTCATGACTTTCCCACAAACAGCTCTCTGAGTGGGCTTTTTGTGTCTCTTTGCTGATCTGAACAAACCTGAGAAAATCATTGAACCTCAGCTAACCGACCCGGGGCTGCGGGCCGGCGTTAGAAGATGCTGTTAGACGTCCTCGCACAGCCTCTGAGGTGTCAGTCTGACTCACACCAACTTTCACCTGCTGCGGCTTTCACCAGGTGCCAGGAAATTAGCCGCGCCGATCCTCAAATGACCTGTTAGCGAGACGCGCTTTGTTTTGAGTGTCACCGTGTAGGCTACCTGTGTTTGCGTCTCCCCTGCTGAGCGGGCAGGAGGTGATGCACGACGTGTGTGATGATGTCATCCCCGCCACACTGGGGGGTTAGCCCAAAATAGCACAGCAAATCACACCGTCAATGACACTGTAAACAACATGAGGACGGAGAGCGTGTCAGCCTCTGTGTGAGTTAGAGATCAGAGAGCCACGGCTTCACTTTAACACGTTTTGTTTCTGTTTTTGACATAGAAAAATTGACAGCCAAAGCAATCCTAATCTAACATTTAGATAACCCAGCTCTCTGTAAGGTTTACCGAATCTGTACAGCCTGACCAACCTGAAATCTAAGTTATAAATGCATCAGAATCACAACTCCATAGATTTGTTTCCCTTTTCCGTCTTAGAGTTACCGTTATATTTTGACACCAGTCTCTGATCTCATTTCCTGAGATTCCGTTAACCAGCAGAGTTTTTAGGAATAAGCTGAAATTTAATCTGACAGAATCCATTTTCCTGTAAATAGCTAGTTCAAATCTTGATTTTCCAGTGGCGTGAAATTTAAAGATGGTACATTTTCTAAGTCCTCTGTAGAGAAAGGACAAAGCACACTGCATAGGAGTGCGGGATCAAGACAAAGGACGAACCCCCCCCCCCCCCCTGCCCCAGAGAACCTGGCAATAATGTGTAGTTGCCCCGGCAACTGCAGTTGGACTGTGGTAATCTGAAGGTACAGTATATTCATTCCAGGGGCTTCCCAGTTGGCCCCCAGGCCTCCCCGGGGGGAGAGAAAAGAGCAAATAAAAACGGAGGGAGCGTGATGGTTCTGTCCACCCTCGAAACACGGCCTTGGATTTGGATCAAACGGCTTTCACTCTGGCCGCCTCGCCTTCAGTTATGAATTGCTCCGGCTCACAGAGCCCTCGGCTGGTGGCCTTCAACATCCCCAGGAACCAGTTTTTACGACGCGGCTCACCTGCCTCATCGGGCCGTTCCCTGTTGCTCAGTTTGCCACGCGTCCAGCCTGAGATCCGCCCTGGTGGAGGGCCTTCATGTGGATTCCTCCAGCTGACCTCTGGCCTTGGGGGAGTTGGAGAGTGGTCGGTGTACCCTGACTGTCATCTGTACCGTCACGGTAAACCCACCCCTGAGACCAATTTGCCGTGGAAACCCTTTCCATGGACTAACGCTCCTGCCACAACACTGCTGAAGCTCTTGGGGTTACTCAAACCCAACCGCCATGTTAAGGCCTTTACATATTCTGAATACGTTAATCAGCTTTTTCACGGTAATGACTGCGCTATTACAATTTTTTGCTGCAAATAAACATTCTCATCACTCTTCCCAAATGGGATGAGGAGGGCAGAGTGTGAGTGTGTGCGTGTGTGTGTGTGTGTGTGTGTGGGGGGGGGGGGGG